TTTTAATTACAGCCCATGACCTTTGCTAAATTTGGGCAGATAGACTGCCCATTGTTAGAGTGAATTCTGTCTGGCATCTCAAGCTGTATAGATTTATGGCAACCACTTAGCTTGTGGGACATTTGTCTCATTGAGGTGAACGCTTGCCAGAAGCCCACAGTGCCGTGTGTACAGGATAAGTGTGGAGTCCCACGCTGCTGTGTGATGGGCGTGGCCAGGTGTGGGGTCACAGCCTGGGGTCATGCTGCAGCCTTGTGTTGGCCTGGGATCTCAAGGCCTTCTCTTAGAAATGCATTATGAGATTTGATTTTGTCTCGTCAGGTTTCAGGAAACCTATAACTACTGGATGCAGTTTGACTTTTGGTGTTTTTTTATAATGCTGGAAATTGAACCCAGGGCTTCATTGGAGTTTCTTCAGTATCTGGCTCTAGCAATTGGAAGGTGTTTTCGAGCAACTAATTCTCAGTCCTCTGGGCTTGCTGACTTGAGGGCCTGACATCTCAGCGTGATGGGCGCCCTGGCAGGCCCTGGGCTGGCCCGCTGTGGTCAGGGGTGTGGCAGAGGCAGCTCCGTTGTGTGGGGAGGTCCAGTCATCTCCCAGCTGCCCAAGCCCGTCCCTAATGGTCAGCTTAAAGCTGTGAGAAGGACAAAATGTGGGGATGGGGAAGGTGGCCAGTCCCCTTCTTCTCAAGCTGCACTTGTGATTTTCTTGTGTGGACTGAGGACAGAAGTGAGAGAACCGAGTGGCTGCTCCTCTTCTGCACAGCTCAGTTGAGATGGTCATCATGTGGGTCCCCTCCTTTCCTGAGTTCTGGATTTTGGCAGCTCCATCGCTGTGTGCCCCACCTGCTGTTTTCTGTGCCCTGTCCCAGGAGGCCCTGGCTGCTCATCCTGTGATGGGAGTTGCAGGTGCAGAGCACAGGTGTGGCAGTCAGGTGGCCATGTCAGTGGTAGCCATGGTCTGTTGCTCCTGTGGGTCGGGGAGGGGAGCTAGGAAGCAGACCTGTGGTCCTCCCTGCCTGTGTGAGCATTCTGCCGCCCTGCAGTGTCCCCCTACCAGGGCACAGAAGATATGCGCAGCATCGTGCCCTGTCGGAGTGGTCAGAGGGGCTGGAGTGTTCTGTGTTGCCTTGACAAGAACTTCAGCTTAGAAAGTTTTACATTGAACTTTGCTTTGCTTTTCCTTGCAGTGAGAAATGTGAGGTTTTGGTGGACAGTGCGAAAGAAAGTGAAGATGTAGACAAGGTAAGAAAAGGGCTGACGAGGTGATGAACGTGTTTCAGTCTGATTCATGTGTAATGTTCTTGCAAATGTGATGATCCGTCCCATTCCTATTGGTTTTAGGAACAGTATTTCATAGTCCAAAAGCAGTGTCCACCCAGCCCCTTACCATCACCTGCTCTTAATTCTTTTTTGGCATCCTGTGTTTAGCTGCTTTTTTTGTTACTATTTTTACAAAATAATTTAGGTTGCTGTGATCTTAAATTATAGATGGTAAAGATACAAAGAGCCTTGTATCAACATTTTTATTAAGTGTGTGATAAAGTTTAAACCTGGATTAATTAATGGGAAGGATTTACTTATTTAAAAGAGAATGGCTTTTCTTTCTCAAGTCTGTGCATTTGGTGAAGTTCCAGTCAGTCTCAGTGGAGTTTTCAGGAAATTTAATGAGTAATTGCCAAAATTTCTGAGAAAGAATAAATAATTGAGGACCTTTGTCCTCCAAAATACAAAAGCATATTATGAAATATAGCCGTAAAAGCACTGTGGTATCAGTGCAAGAATTAATAAATGTCCTAGAGGAACAAAACAGTTTAGAAACAGGGCTGTGTGCCTAAGCTTGGCAAAGTCAGTTCCTTAAAGATAGTAAAAAATGAAGTGGGGGAAATGGATTGTTTCTTAAATGGTATGGAGGCAACTGAATGTCCATTGGATAATGGCACAAGGTCTCTATTATAGATAAGCATAAATTACTAAAAAACATTCCAAGCACCAAAAGGCACAGAAACTGGAGTACGGTGTGGCTGGTAGGCAGGAGCATGCAGAGCCAGAACAGAGTGGAACAGCAAGGCACCTGCCCTCCTCACAGGAGCCAGGAGCCAGAGCAGGCCGAGTTCTTCCAGCAGGGGGCAGGCTTCTCCTTTCCGATGGAGCCTGCTCCAAAGAGGCTGCTGCGTCCTGCTCTGGGAATTCTTTGGAGACCTTGCCTTGTTCTCCTTGGACTGAGTGAATTACATTTTACTCCCTTGCCACCCTGTCTCTGTAATGCTGGGGTTTTTGGGGTTTTTTGTTTATTTTTTTTTTTTGAGGCGGGATTATTTTTGTGCCTCTTGATAGACTGTTTAGAAGGCATGTATCTTGGAGGAATCATGCATTTTGTATCTAAGACTCCCGAGTCCCTTACTAAGTGTGCTTGCATTCTCGGAACAAGAGAGAGGTAAGTGTTGAGTGTCTTGGGAAAGGATGGGAAGTCTGCCTCTCCGGAGGCCAGCCCGGAGCTGGGAGCCCAAATGTCGGGTCTACCAGACCCCGCACTTTTGAGGCTCGGCCTTGCCTTCTAGAGTGAGCCTGGCTGGGAAGAAGCAAGTAGCCCACCCCGCTCACAAACTTCCTGGATTCCTTTTCCACTCTGTCCTCCAGGCTGCACAGTGATCTCTGCACTGCCTGGTCCTGGAGCGGTGCCATCCTGTCACTTCTTGGGGTTACGACCATAACATTTTCTTTGAGTTTGGTGTGTGCCAGATACTCGTAACCTACAGTGTGACCTCATTCAAACCCCTAAAGTGGGGCTGCCCGTTTAAATCGAACCCTTCCTTCCTTAGGTGGTGGAGGACATTGAGTACCTCAGTTTGGACAAAGGACCTTGGCTGAAGCAGGATGACCACAGTCTCCATAACCTGCGGATGCGGTGAGTTCCCTGACTCTGGACTCCACATGTTGGATCTGTGGTGTGCCATAGTTAGGGGTCACTAGCACCTCCCAGTACTGAGGTGTATTTCCTTGTCCCTTCCAAACAGCTCTTGAATTCTCTAATCAGATCATTCCTTAATTGATTGCCAGCATTAAGTCAACAGATACTTTGATTCCGCTATGTGTTAGACAGACAGTCTTGTAATTTTAAAGGCTGTAGTATCAAATAAAATTCTGTTCTAATCAAGGATGAATCCTAGTGGAGAGGAGTACACAAGTAGAAAGAACTCTGTGGTCATGAAGGCTTTGCAGGGCAGTAGGCCGAGTCATGAGCTCGTGCATGGCTGGGGTCCAAGTGGCCAAGGGCACTGAAGCCACCAGAGAACTCGCATGCAGAGCCCAGGTGAAGCCAGGGCCAGGCATTGCCCAAGTGAAGAGGGTCAGGGCGGCAGCAGGTGGAGAAGCTCATGGGGAGGTGACCAGCTGTCTGTCCCTGTTGATCCCCTACTGCTGGACTGTCCATTTTGGCTGCTGAAGTCCACTTCATCAGTACCAACGTTGCCTATTTCTCCTTGGAGTTCTGTTAGTTCTCACCCCTGTGTTTCAGAGTTAGGTACAGGCGTGTTTGGGGTTATGTCGTCTTAGTATGTAATGCCGCTCTGTATCCCTGATGTTTTCCTTTGTTCTGAGGTCTGCTGTCTGCTCCTGCTTTTGATTAATGTGGGTGTGGTGTATCTTTTTCCATCCCTTTAACTTTGCTAAGTCTTATTTTCTTATAAACAGTAAATAGTTGAGTCTTTGTTTTGTTTTTTTATTAAACCCTGATAGTTTCTACTCATTGGTATATTTGGACTTCACATTTGAAGTGAGTTTGATGTATGTGAATTCATTTTGGCCATATTTATTTCTGGTGTGTTTTTGTTTGTTTGTTTGTTTGGTTTTGTTTTTTTTTGGGTGGTGGTGCTGGGGATCGAACCTAGCTGCATTCCCAGCCCTTTCTCACTATTTATTTTGAGGCAGGTTCCCATTAGCTTACTAAGTTACCCAGGCTGTGCTCAAACTAGTGACTTCCTGCCTCAGCTCTCCAGAGTGCTGTGATTTCAGGTGTGCAGCAGCACACTCAGCTGCCTTCCCTGGATGTGACTAAGCATTTTAGACAGGCCCTCTTGATGTCCTCTCTTAATATACCAATTCCTTAGAAAGTGCTGCAGTATGGTGTTCCTGTCTCTAAGAGAAGGACAGTGGCCCTCCACAGCCTCAAGTTCCGTATACACAGACCCAGCCACCTTTGGATAAGAATATTCCAGAAGAATTGTGATTGCCCTGAATACGTGCGGACTTTTTCTTGTCGTTCCCTAGACCGTATTGTGTGACATTGTGTAGATGGTATTTACTCTGTATCAGACTCATGAGGAATCTAGGGATTCTTGCAGATGTACTGGAGGATGGCATGGTTACATGGGAATACCCTGCCTTTTTGGTGAGGGTGCTTAAGCATCTTCAGATTTGGGCACCCACGGAGTCCTGGAACCAGTCCCCTGTGGATACTAAAGGATGCCTGTACTTGGTTTTCAGCTTTTTTGGTTGTGAAAACAGGAGTGACAGCTTCCAAGCTCTTTATTTGTTAGAGCTGAAACTGTTGGTCTCTTCTGTTTGTCTAGACCAGTGATGGTGAACCTTTTAGAGCTTTCAGTGGTACAAACAGCCCACTGCAGCGCATGTGCTATAGATTTCCCACCACTGGTCTAGACATATGTCTGCGTCTGTTGGTGAATTTACCAGAGAGACCCACTGTACTCTGCCATTCTGAACCATGCTAAGCACCCTTCCTTTCTTGTAACTGCTTGCCTGCCTTCTCATCTGAAGTTGTGCAGTCACCACCATACCATGGGGCTGTGTCCGGAGGATGTGCAGGAGCATTTCCTCCATTTACAGTGAGGAGACTGTAGCTCGGGAGCTCCCGGGTGACCCTGGCTGGTGCTCTGTAGGACCTGGTGCCATGAGCTGCATGCATCTGTTCAGACTTGAATCCTGGGGAGCCAGACTCCTCGATCCGCTGTACACCAGCCCGAAGCCTCCTCTTCCAGAGTCACATGCTGCAGGTCGCTGTGTTCTCTATTTTGCTCTCTGTCTCCTGTCACTCCAGCTCGGCCCTGCACACCCCATCTCATGCACACCCCTCAGGTTGCTTGTCACTGACGTCGCAGTGACCCCTTTCTTTCTGGCAGCGTGGGTCAGTGGCTCATCTTGGACTGGTCCAGATTCAGTTCCTTTCAGTTGACTCAGACCTGGGGTATCTGCCCTGGTTTTGCACTTCTCCTGGGACGCCCTGCCTGCTTTAGCCTCTTCTTCCTCTCTCTCTGTCTCTCTCTCTCTCTGTCTGTCTGTCTCTCTCTCTCTCTGTCTGTCTGTCTCTCTCTCTGTCTGTCTGTCTGTCTGTCTGTCTCTCTCTCTCTCTCTCTCTCTCTCTCTCCCTGAAGCTTCCTCTTCGCTCTTCTGCAATACTATTTTATGTGAGTGCGTGTGTGGCCCTGTCTGTCAGTATTGACTGCTGCTGGGCTGAGTGTGACTGTTGCATAAGGAAAGTGACTGCTCCGAAGCCCTAACGCACTGACTGAGACTAGAGAATGTCTTTTTGACCTCCTAGGATAATACCATGTCATTTTCGAAGTACACCCTGAAATGTGCATTGATTTAATTATTCAGCATGTTCAAGATTCCTGTTTTAAAAATCATAATTTTAGTCATTAGGTAGTTACATGGTAGAATAGAGAAGGATCCTGTAATTCTCCCAGAGTTTGTAAATCATAGCATTCAATTAATTAGTTTGCTATGGGGTTTTCCTTTCCTTTTCTTCATTTTTTTATTGCCCCCACCCGTTTCATAACTTTTTACAATGGTAATTTTGATTATTTTCATTTGACTCCCATTTCTTAAGTGAAAATTATAACCAATTTTCTGAGGTAATTATTGTAAACATGCCATTTACCAGTTATGCTCATTTTGTGCAGAACCTGAGCAAATTATTGCTTAGAACATTTTGTACCATCTCAGTTACATGTGTCAGTGTATAATTATGTGTGTGTGCATGCTCACACTAAGTGGCAGTGACTGTGTTCTCAGTCTTGACAGTGTTTTGTGCTCATGTTCGTGGCCCATGACTGACTGGCACCTCCGGGGATGGCGTCAGCCCTGAGGGTCACCGATTGCCAGCCCAGTGCCCAGATGTGCAGGCCCTTCCTCGCCTGAGCCGCCTTGTGGTCCCTGCCACCCGCTGTCTGCCTTCCCTTCCCGCAGAGACCCCTGCAACAGCTCCACAAGGTGGGCTTCTTGTGCTGCGAGCCTGTAGGTGGTGGATCCTCAGTATCTCCTACGGAACCCGGTCCTCACAGTTCAGGGGGAAGTGGACAGCAGGCTGTGGGGAAGTTACACTTTCTCTTACCTGGGAAAGAGTGGAGTCATAAACCTCATTTGCCATTTTATGTTCTGGTGTCCTCCTGCCTCACTCTATTGTCTTAAAATGCATGGTGCGGCCCTCACACTGTACACCAGGCCTCAGTGCCTCTTACCTCTGGGCTGCACACTTAGCGTATGTCATTCTCAGTCTGTTTGAATTCTTCCTAATTAAACTAAGTGCTCTGTAAACAGAATGTTTTCTTTCACTGCTTTTTGCTTCCTGAGTTGTAAACAGCTTCCTGGTGTCTGTTCCTTGTTTTTATCTCCAGTTCAGAATGTATCAGGCCAGACCTACAGGTTTCCTAGAACTGTGCCCTGTGCTGTTCTTCTCACCTGTGCGACACCTTGACAATTACTAACGTTTAAGACCTCATTTAGGTTGACGTTTTTAATTTGAGATCATCTCAAAAATTGTGTAGTAACGTTATAGAATAACTGTGTTAACAGTGAAGAAACTATGCATACTCATCACTGAAATGTGTCTGGAATGTACTTGAAACACCGTATAGGAGAGCCGCCTGCACTTCCCTCTGGAACCCACATGGAGCTCGGAGCGCAGTGTTTAAGACCTCATTTAGGTTGACGTTTTTAATTTGAGATCATCTCAAAAATTGTGTAGTAACGTTATAGAATAACTGTGTTAACAGTGAAGAAACTATGCATACTCATCACTGAAATGTGTCTGGAATGTACTTGAAACACCGTATAGGAGAGCCGCCTGCACTTCCCTCTGGAACCCACATGGAGCTCGGAGCGCAGTGCCACAAACTTCACTTTGGTACTGTGTGGGATTTTGTCAGATGCCCGCATTGCCTTTGTAACAACCAGGAATAGCAGTCTAGCCAAATACAGTCCCTGTATGCCCTTTACAAACTTGACAATTTGCTTGTTTGAGTTTCAGGAAGTATTTGAGTATTTTTTAGTCGGTAAAACTAACTTGACACCAAAGCTGAAAAAACAGTCTTATCTTGGTGTACATTGCAGCTGTTTGCCTGACCAGGAGAGACCCACATGAATTCACCTAGGAGCACACACACACAGGCACAGTGATCCTGGTGCCTGTTCCAGAGATTGGCCTCCAGGACACTGATTGTGTGGGGACACTCGTGGGTGCTCCGCCCGCCTCTGTCCTCCATTCTCTGTGGCCCTCTGGAAGTGTGACCCCAGGACCCGTGGCATTGCAGCTGTTTGCCTGACCAGGAGAGACCCACATGAATTCACCTAGGAGCACACACACACAGGCACAGTGATCCTGGTGCCTGTTCCAGAGATTGGCCTCCAGGACACTGATTGTGTGGGGACACTCGTGGGTGCTCCGCCCGCCTCTGTCCTCCATTCTCTGTGGCCCTCTGGAAGTGTGACCCCAGGACCCGTGGGCAGCTCTCTGTGGCCCAGGCGGCCAGTCTTGGGCTGTGGTGGGTCTAGGCTCTTTCAGGAACATCACAGAGCCTCCACTGGAGCCTTCACAAACAGGAAGTGCCCACTGCCTAACTTATGGGAAAGTGGCCATAAGAAGTCATTATTTTCTTTGTTTTGAGCCCATAAAATAGGAAACTTTTTAATGCTCCTTTGTAAAAGCTTAAAGATGTTTTTCATCTTCAAGATTAAATTTAAAGTAAGCAAATTATGGCAAAGTATAAATATTTTAGCACTTATCAAAATGAAGTACTTAAAGCCGGAGAGTGTCCCTGATTTGTATTTATTAGTGCCAAGAAAACGAAGCCTCAGAGCTTGCAAGAGTGGTGGTGTCAGGTCACCCGTGGTCGCAGGCTCCACAGGCCCTGTCCCTTCACTGCCACACAACTCTGCACATGCAGCAGCAGAAGCAGGACACTGGGGGCAGCCGCTGCTCCTGGTCTTTCCCCAGACAGGCATAAACTGTGCACGTTTATTTCCAGGGAGTGCTCCCTATGTGCACAGCACTGTGATGCAATTGAGCATAGGTGCTCCTCTGTCCCTGTGTGTAGAGCACACTTTGGCCCTTTCACATTACCGGAGCGCCCTTGTTCCCAGAAGTCTTTGTCTGAGGGCGCCTGCTTGGGCTGTGCTCGCCCTCGATTCCCAAGTGGGGGCATCTCACAGGCAAGGTCTTCGGTGCAGAGTTTGTGCTTCTGAGCTGGGAGCTTGGGACATAGCAGCATTTGTCTTAGTGTCTGGATTTTCCGTATGGCTGATTAAAAACGTCCGACTTAGCCCTTTTCACGTGATTTACTCCCTGGCCTGGTATGACCCGTGTGTGTCTTGTCTTTCAGGTTTCAGGATAAGTGGCAAGTGCTGAATTACACAAGTATCCCCATCTGTCTCCTGGAAATCACAGTCTGAGCTCCCCAGAGTGACCGGCTCCACTGCAAGTTCAGAGAGGTGAGTCCTGCGTGTGGGGAGCTGTCCTGGGGGCACACGGGCCACTGGCCTGGGGGGGTGCAGACCAGCTGTTTCCCCGGGTCTCTGCAGGGAGCAGGTGGGGCCCACGTTGTTCCCAAGGTGTTGCAGTGGTTCTGAGTGTGCTCGCAACTGTTCTTTGTTGGGCTCCATCTCTTTACTGCCGTGTCCTACTTCTGGTTCCTCTTACTCTCACTCTTCTCAATCCCTCGGCCAGCTGTAAGGCCTGTATTTCTACAGAGTCCTTCGACTGGGAGTGCAGAGGGAGGATGGGCGTGCCTGGGGACAGACAGTGGGAAGAGGCGCTGGCCAGGGCTGCCTCCTTGTCCTCTTCTGATCCCCACACCTTCTTACAGATCCTTCGTCCTCTGGGTGGAGAGTGTTTTCCAGCCAGGCTTCCTCAAGCGGGGGAGCCGTGGCCTGCGCTGAGCACCCTCCAGGCTGTGGACTAGCATGGGTCGTTTCCAGTCTGCCGTGGCTGTGTTTGCTGCTGGCAAACGTATGAATGATTGTGCTGTGGTCCGTGCACCCTGCTGTGCAGTGAATGCGTGTGTCCTGGAGAGAGCTCTCCACAGTCTGTTCCGAGAGGACCTGCCAGGTGCGTGTTGCTGTCCTACGCCTTGGCTGTGTATTCTTCTCCCTCCAGCTGCGCTGTGCAGGTCTGCAGCTTCCTCAGCCTGCGGGGGGGCTTCCCCTCGCCTCCTGGGCCCTGCCCCTCGCAGAAGCAGCCATGCTGCATGCAGACCCTCCACAGCTGCACCCAGGCCCTCTGCCACCAGAAGTCCTGGTAGTCTCACTTTGCTTATGTTTTGAGGCTCGAGCTTTTATCCTTTTGTTCATATGACATTTTCTCCCGTGTATTTAGTAATGCTTTATACCTTGCAACGTCATTCAGTATGTATTTCATATGTAACACTTTTTTTTTTTGGTGTGTATATGCAAAGTAGCCTTTTCTGTGTCTTTTAACTTCAGCCTATCTGTATACTTGTCTGTCTTTATGTGTGGTTCAGGTTAGCCTTGAACTCACTGTGGCGCCCAGGCTGGCCTTGAATGCAAAGCAACCCTCCTGTCTCAGCCTCCCAGGTGCTAGGATTACAGGCGTATACCACCATGCCTGGCTATATTTGTATTTAATGTGAATAATTTATAAGCTGGGGATATTTTTAAAGAATATTTGCCAGTTTGGATGTTTGGAATATTTATGTATTTGCATTTATGGCAGCCCTTGACAGATTTGTTTGGAAATACCCTGTGGCACTACCTATATTTTTTCTGCCTGTTCTATGTGTTATTTTTCCTTTCTTGTTTGCTTTTGTTTGGATTTTTTTTTTTTCAATTTCATTTGCACCCCCTCCCATTTATTTGCTAATCCTTACCCTGGTAATTAAAATCTTCATCTGTAATTCGCTGAAGCCTCAATTGGTAGTTTTCCAGTTCCAGAGCAGTGTGAAGATTGCAGAGTACTGTTAACTCCACTTGCCTGGCCCTTCTCCTTTGTGCTGTCCTGGTCACGTGCCTCGATCCCATGCATTTGAAGCCCTGTGGGACGTGGGCACCGAGCTGTACAGTCGGTGGGTGCAGGTGGGTCCATGCCGCGTCCACCCTGATGCAGCCTTCCTGAGGCTTTGGTTTAGGGTCCTTGGTCTTCTGCTTGTTGTGGACAACAAATTCTCACACTTAAATAGTCTTTCTTCATTTTTGTCTGCTTTTTATTTAGGAATATTTCAAACTTTTAAAATAATGACAGGAACCATTCAACAGGAAGTTAGCACCATGATGCCCACCCGTCTTCAAACTCCACTGGAGCTGGTCCCAGCATGCGGTCCCTGTGCCGCACCTCCAAGGTGTTCTGGGAACCTAGTCCAGGCCCCGGGTCTGGGCCCAGGAGATGTTTAGATAGAGTCTGCCAGGCAGAGTGAGGCCCACTGCAGTTGGAGGCCCTCCACTTGAGTGTGTCATCCTTACCACCCCACTGTGTAGCTGTCACAGTCAGAAATGAGCATTTGCACACATTGCTGCCGCCTGGCCTCCTGGACCCTATGCCACGGACCAGCTTGTGACCCCAGTGATGTGGCTGTGTTCAGGATGTTGTCCCTTTCGTCTTGGCATCCAGATTAGTCCTCGAACTTGCTTAGATTTTCAAGACCTTGACACCTTGGAGGATTACAGGACAGTGATTCTACTGCGTGTCTCTTAGTTTGGTCATGTAGGCGTCTTGTCTGTGGTGGTGGTGGGGGCTCTCTGCTTCTCACCAGGTACTCTATGACTCCCATTTGCCCCGGCACTGCTTCTGTCACTTGGTTGCTTGATTAAGATGGTATCTTTGTAATAAAGGTACTTCCTCACTTTTCCTAAGTACTAAGCAGTGGGGGAGATACCTTGAGACCATGTAAAAGTGTTCTCATCACGTTTGCTCTCAACAGTTTTAGCATGTATTGATTTTCTTAACTACATCAGTTATTGCTGTGATGTTTGCCAAACTGTAATTCTTTTATTTCTACCATCCCTTCACATTCGTTTGTGCCCTGCACTAGCATTTTCCCCTTCCCTCCCTTTATTTGTTCATTTATGTGTTTGTGTCACTGTAGATGTCGAATTCTGTGTATTCACACACATCTGTATTTATTTCTGTCCCTCTGTGTTGAAAAGCTGAAGTTCACCCTGCTGTCTCTGGTCCTGTGTCACACTACAGGCTTCATGCTAGGATCTCTTCCCTATCCATCATGGAGCGTGGCTGATCTGCCTCTTGCCTCGGTATATTGCCTTCAATTAGTCCCTGTATATGGGGCCAGCCTGCTGTTGGCTGCCACCATGGACCTGCCTCGGGGAGGCCCCCTCCGTCCCCAAGGAGACCTGAGCCCTACAGAGCCCTGCAGAATGACTCTGGACCAAATTCTTAGAGAATACTTGCACTCAGTATGGAATTCTCAGTTGCCAATTTTCCTTGCAGCATTCTTAAACTTCAGTATTTTGGGCTTCTGGCTTTCGTGTTTCTGGTGAATAGGTTGCTGTCCTCTTAGGAATATAATGCATCTTATTTCTCTGGCAGGGCTCATTTTCTTTTTCAAGAGGTTTTCTTACTTGGTTTTGAGCACAGTCCATTGCAGGGATGACAAACCTTGCAGAAACAAGTGCCCAGACTGCTACCCAGAACCCATGTACTTAGCACACAGTGCCAACACTGCAGTTAAGCCTGGATGCTGAGGTTTTGGTTTAACATCTTTCTATAGAGGAGCACAATAACATGCATCCCATAGGTTCACCACCACTACTCTAGCGTGTCTGTGCTCTTGAGTGTGCAGGTACACCTGCACGTAGTCTGCCCAGCTCACACTGCACCTGTGGAGTGATCTTCAGAGTTGTGTCTCTCTGCCCTTCTCTGTCTGCTCCTGCTCGGGCTTCAGTCATTTGTATGCTGGACCTTCTTAGCAGGTTCCGTCTATGCCTGCGATCTTTTCTGTATTTTCCACAGTCTTCTTCTTTGTCTGGTTCTCCTACTCATTTTGGTTGTGGTCATTCAGTCATGGTATGCTTCCTAGTTGATTTTTTGTTCTTTTGTTTGTGGTTCTTGTCTTGTGACAGCCATTTTTTCGGAACGTAAAGGTAGCTGGAGGCCTTGGCAAACATTCCTTACTCCTGTGTTGTGCTGTTGTGGCAGGGGCTGCAGTGCAGACAGATCCCCTGAATGTATTCAGAGACTGCACGACTGGCTGAGCCTACATGTTATGAGGTCTGATGATTTCCAGCTTGCCCTTCCCAAGAGACCACCTTTAACAGGTCTCTTTCTGCTTTAAATGGTGTCCCACAGTACTTAGCTGCTTGAAGCTCTGCCCAGTGTCTTGCTCTTTGCTGCTGCTGCTGCTGCTAAGGGGGCAAGAGAGGCCTTGGGAGGAGGGGCCGCAGTCCTTGGCACACCTGTGCTTGCCGCTGTGTCCCTGCCAGGTGCCTTGTGCATGCCCTTCTGTCTGTGCTCTCCACATCTTGGTAGTTCAGGAGGGCAGAGTGGGTCTGCACAGCTGGTCTTCAGGAGCTGGGTGCCTTAGCTGCTGTCACCAACTCCATCTGTGGGAGATCACCCAGCACCTTTTCATTGTTACTGTGTTGTGTGTAGCTTGTCTACCCTTTAATTTGTGAGCATTTAAGAGAAACTATGGTATTGGGCTTGTGGTTTTAATTATGGATAAATATTTAGAAATGTTAAAATTTTAATCAGTAGATGATTGGGGAAGTCTAATTCTTCAAGTTTTTGGAAATGGAAAGGAACTTCAATTTTTGGAACAGTTTTAGATTTACAGAAAGACCGTGAGGATAGTGGAGAGTTCTCGTATACCATACATCTGGTCTTCCACGAAAGCCGTGGCTTCCCATAAATCACAGCAACGAAGTCACCCAGTTTCCCTCTGGAGGGCCCAGTAGATGATTGGGGAAGTCTAATTCTTCAAGTTTTTGGAAATGGAAAGGAACTTCAATTTTTGGAACAGTTTTAGATTTACAGAAAGACCGTGAGGATAGTGGAGAGTTCTCGTATACCATACATCTGGTCTTCCACGAAAGCCGTGGCTTCCCATAAATCACAGCAACGAAGTCACCCAGTTTCCCTCTGGAGGGCCCTGTGGGGCAGGATGCTCGTGTGGAGCTCTGCTGTGCACCACACACAAGTCTGTGGGCAGGCTCATGGCTTAGTGCGGCAGGCCTGGCCAGCAGCAGGACTCATCTCCAGCTGTGCTGCAGGCAGCGGCCCTCCTTCCTGGGCCCATGCTGCCCCTGGTGCAGCACCACTTGACAACTGGTCTCACAGCAGCCCTTGGTGGACAAGCGGGTGCCCATGTTCCCTGCTTGAAGGCCTCCCTCTTCGTCTCTCCCCAGCCTGTCCCTGTGAGCAAGAGAAGGTGGCTTCTTTACATGGCCTTTCAGATAGAGCAGAGCACAGGCGTTTGTCCCCAGAGCCTCG